AAAAAGCAAAGAAAAATTGCATCTATTATCCTTATCTGTCCGATCGCATGAAACTATCGCATAAAACCTTTTTCATCTCTCTATACTAATTGAATTCAATCGTATTATGGGACAAATGATCTATCGCATTAATCGTGTGTTTTGGATGATTAAAAAAGACGAAAGAATGAGCGAGAGGAAGAATCTATTCGATCGATGAACAAATAAATAAATGAATAAAAAAACAAACAAACAAACAAAAAAGTAATCACAATAATAGTAATACTAATAATAATAATAATAATAATAATAATAATAATAATAATAATAATAATAATAAACAAAAAACACTAAAAAAAAGAAAAAGAAAATGAAAAGAAAAAAAAAAGAAAACTTAAAAATTCTTATCAAGTGCCTTTACGTATTTTTGTAATCTAAGATATAATTCTAAGTGATCATCCCACAGAAAATATTATATCTCAAGGGTATTAACATAATAATTAAAATTTCTATATTTTATTAATGTTAATTCTATACCCTTGGTTGGTCTTCGAATTAAATCCATTATTGTAATGTAAAAAAAAAATTATTCTATATTATTTACGGACATGTAATGATACGTAATAAATTTTAAAATAATATACATCATCCTATCGGAGCCCGTTTAATGTTTGAATCTAAAAACAACAATATTATAGATCTTAATGCGTCTATTATATACGACGATTCATGTAAACTTATAGAAATGTAAGACGTATACGAGTACATAAAACCGTCAAATAAATGTCATCAAATCGAATCTATCCCTCCCCTCCCCTCCCCTTCCCTCCTCCCTCCACATCCTTTATTATTCCCTTTTCTGAAAAGAAAAAGAAAGAGAGTAGATAAGAAAAAAAAAAAAAAAAAGAAGAAAAACCCCATAATGATTCCAATACGAAGTTTGATGATTTTTATATTATTAATGTCATTGTGTCTGCTCTCAATATAATGCGTCACGTAAAACTACTGCCAATTTTTCTTGGTTAATAATAATTTAAACGAATAAAAAGAAAAAAAAACAAACAAAAATAAAAGAAGAAAAGAAAAGAGAAACGATTAAGAGATAATAAAAAATAAAATAACATCTATATATATATATATATATATACATGAAAGAATCCAAGGCAACTCTATTCGTTGTATACGTAATTTATGCGATGGTATAATATAATCTCTATTAATAAAAACAAAAAAAAAAAAGAAGTAAACAAAAGAAAGAAAGAAAAAATATATCTAATTATCCGACTATATTATTAATCAGATTATATATATATATATGTATATATATATATATATATATAATATTTTATATATATATAATCTGATTATATTATAATCTGAATATATATATATATATAATACGTATGTATTATTTAATCAAATGTGTTATATTGCGTTATGAATTAAATTGCTTGAGGTATTATTAAAAGCAAGGACCAAAAAAAAAGAAAAAATTAAGTACGACTTTAAATTAATCGTTCTCTATCAAGAGATTATTGTACTGAAGCAATAATAAAAAAAAAAAAAAAAAAAAAAAAAAAAAGAAAAAAGAAAGGAAAATGAGACGATTCAGTTATACTGTTATTTTGATATTTTCTCTATATATATATATATAGAAAAAATTGAAAAAAAATATATATATATAAGAAAAGAATATAAAAGTTGGCAAGAGATAAGATCTGAGATTAAATCACATATGTATTACGTACTTAATCGTAATAAAATATTATTAACAATACAATATTTTAATATACAATATTTCAAAATAAAAAGTAAATATATTTAATAATATACTTTATTAAATTATTATATTCTTAAAATAAAAATGTATACTTATGAGCAAAGTAAATATTTCCACCGAGGACAATAGTTATGTTTAGAGAGATAGAGAAAAAGATAGAGAAAGAGAAAGAGAGAGAGAGAAAGAGAAAGAGAGAGAGAGAAAGAGAGAGAGAGAGAGAGAGAGAGAGAGAGAGAGAGAGATTATAAAGCAGAAACGCCTTATATAAATACGTATATATATAAAATCTATTGTTTTTCTCCAATATCGCAATATATTGGTAATATTTGGAAACGTTGATTGAAGCTAAATCTGATATATCTATTAAATGTAAAGACAAAATGTATCGATTATATCGAAAGAAAAGATAAATCTATATTATATGAATAACGTGATTTCACGAAGTTCATAATGGAAAAAAGAAATATATATATTATTATTATTATTATTATTATTATTATTATTATTATTATTATTATTATTATTATTATTATTATTATTATTATTTTATTAATATAATATATATTATATTAATATTTACTATATATTATATATAAGTTTAATCTCTGCATATTAGTAGAAGATGCAGATGTTATTACATTCAGAGTATTTTAAACACAATCATGTTACTACACACACACATATATATATATATATATATATATATACATATATATATATATATATATATATACTTTGTCATAAAGATCACGTATAGAATCGTATCTAATCTGTCTGATGTATCGATAAGACAGTATATTAAATACAATGATGAAAATCTGTGCATTCAGTAATCCCGTAAATCCTAATTCGTGAAGATGTATTATTTAACGTTAACTATTTTTATAGTGTCGTCCCTTATTTCCGGAAGTCTCGGTAAGATCAATCAAATTCAAAATAATATTATATATTTATTATCTCATACAGGGAGAATAATATTAACAACGATAAAGATATATAAATAATTATATAATTAAATAAATAAATGATCAAAGAAAAAAAAAAAATAAAGGATAATTGACGTGGATAATAATTTTTATATCAGGAAAAGAAGGTTTCGGTCCAGGGGAACAAGATTGGGGACATGTCACGGTTAGACAAT